CATTTGTGTAAATGGTTAATTTGAATTTGGAACACCCGTGCCAGCCGGTGTTGTGGTACACGCTACACGGCCGGCGGCACACTGTCCGCGCGCCCCCGCCAGCCTACACTTATAGCGGGCGTCTAACTAACGGAGCTGACCGCCCCATGTAAAATTCAAACAACCCCAAAATACATCAAATGCCATTGCATGTTTTAATTATGATAACCAGAAAAATATGGCCGCACGTGCAAGAGGCTACGTGAGTGAAAAGGAAGCCTCATGTATCCGCTTTCCTGCAGTGGAGGATGTGATGGAAATAGTCATGGAGATAACAAAGGTCAGGCCAGGAATAGACCGCCCGCGGCTTTAGGATCGCGGCGACCTTTGACACTGCGGTTCGGGGATCACTATCTAAGATCTCTTCATTGCTCTGTTCTTGGGATAATCCTCTTTATTTTTGAGAATGTTGTTGGTGTTTGACTTCAGAATATGATTAATTCAGCAATTTAACTTCAGTAGCAGAGATTAATTACGAGCTACAAAATAAACAAGACATTGGCAACTAACTTTATTTAGCACGTCACCGTCTAATCTAGAATTCTAGAGCTCTGATTTATATTTGTAAAATAGGTCAACTGTAATGCTATTTCAATTGTACAAATACCTACAAATTGTAGAAGTGAAACTGGTGCAAACATTTAGCAACTATTTGTAATGAAAAACCTTATTCCTTTTAAGAAGTTTTTTTTTTCGACTTTTAGTAAAACGAATATAACGAAGTTTCTAAAATGCCTCATTAATTAAAAACAACAAAGATAATAAAATAATCAATTGAGCTCTTTATTAACTAACAACTTACAAACCTGAAAGCAAGAAAAAGTAGGTATATAAAAATGTTCAGACAAAATACCGCATGGTTATGATTTATAGAAGCTCATAAAATAAATACACTAACAACACAAATAACATCCCAAGAGAATAAGAAAAAGTCTGGTAAAGACAATTAAAACACGTGTTCAAACAAACATTGTAAAAGCATTGCGTGCATCGCAAGATTGAATTAATAAAATTATTGTCTATGATGGATAATAAACACTCAAGTGCAATGTACGGGCGATGCGATGGGCGGCATTCCCAGCTGAGTGGGAATTATAAATTTATTATCAGCCGGCCTCTAATTGTGTGAACACACAAACGGTATTTCATTGCATACGCGCGACTAGCTTTAACTGTACATTTCTTCTTTTCAAAAAACCTCAAGAGGGCTTCAAATGTCAAATAAATAAACTATGATGGCATGTCCACCCACATCTCTTTCAAAAGAAAAGCAAACACAATGAAAGGAACAAATAATAGCAAAGAAAGTGCAAAAGTAAGCACATTAAAATACAGTTCTTCATAAGCTAAAAAAAGAAATGGCTGATGGTAATCAAATTCGCGCCATTTGTCAAGGGTCACTTGGTGGCACGCTGGTCTATTATTCGGCCTTCACCAGCACAATGTCAAGTTTATTTAGCATAGTGGTGTGACCCGGCCACTTCAAAGTTCAACACGTAAATCTGGTTCTTCAGACAAAAGGAATAAATTTTAGATAATTAGATAGAGACATCTATTTCTTGCATTAGATAGATCGACACTATACTGTGTATCATACAAAACAAGGAAAGAAAGAAATAGGTACACAAAAGGGACAGCACATTCAAATTGATAAGATTGTTTAAATAAGAGACAATATTATAGTTGTTTGACATTTATCTCTACATAAGCTGTAAGATAAATGGTTCCAAAGAGACAGGTTTATGCGTAACATCTAAAAATACGACTAAAACGTTTCTTTGTGTATAAAATGACACAACTATAGTGATATGACCACGTTAAAAATGAACGTACGAAGCTAGAGAAGATTCTAGAGGTTCGTGCTGCAAAAGACTTACACCGTTTTCACAAAAATCAGCCTTTTGAATGCCATTTTATCAAAACTCTACTTTGTTGTTTTTTTTCAGAGTTGCATTAACCCTCACCAGAAACGTACAAGCCATTCATTAGATGCCAAAGACTAGCAGGCATGATAAAGGGGGTAAATCAATACATGAAACCTACCATCTCTCAACAAGCAAGAGAAGTGTATTACTATCGTGCGCATACGCAGTTATCGATTAAGCGCGAAGTTGATAAACAATGCGGCTCAGTAGTCGGCTACAAGCGCTCATTATCACCACCGCGGCACCGCGGTCCAGATACAATGAGCGTGTAAACGAGGCTGCGAACTAAAATGTAGTTTCTATGATACCGACGATTCCGACCACTTCAGATTGAAATGAGTTGTCTATCATGATTAGAACTCGAACTTTAACCACCCCTGTGGTCTAGTGGTAAGACCTCCTGCTACAGACGCATAGGTCCCGGGTTCGATTCCCAGTGGGGGCAGATTTTTCTGTTCGGTTTGGTTGGTGGTAGGGCTTGTTCTAAATCCGCCTGGCTAGCTACCACTATCTTACCTAAGTCTGTTGCCATAGCAATTAACAGCATTGTTGTTTTCTGGCAGTTAGAGGTAAGATAGCCAGTTCCTCCGTGGTCGAGGATTCCGGGTGAAGCTCGCTTCCACTTTCAGCCTGATCATCACTTACCATCAGGTGAGATACAGGCCGTCGTTGTGAATAAAAAAAAACTCTCTTTCCAATGATCTCTTTAAATTCTTTCAAAGAAGAAATTAAAATGGAAACCCCGGAAAGTTATTCAGAAAGAAAGCAGCGCTCTACATTAATAAAACATAAGAAAAAATTACAGCTATTAGAGAAGTATCTGACTGTGATTATAGTAATGAGTAGACCTTCTGAAATATATGGTTAGTGCAGTTGGTGCAGTCTTAGATTTCTTAAATAATTCAAAAGAAAGCACCTTACCGTTCCCTAGAGGCTAGAGGGTAATAAATTCTAATCTATACTAATATCATAAATGCGAAAGTAACTCTTTCTGTCTGTCTGTCTCGCATTCACGCCTAAACGGTGAAGCGATTTTGATAAAATTTGGCATAGAGATAGTTTGAGTCCCGGGAAAGGACATAGGATAGTTTTTATCCCGGTTTTTGAAACAGGGAGTCAGGGACGCGCGCGATAAAGTTTTTCTGTGACACAAAAATCCACGCGGGCGAAGCCGCGGGAGGAAAGCTACCTATATTCGTGGTGCCTCAAACCACAATTTACAAGTTCCTGAATGATAGCGGAGAGTTACCCAACCATGATAACTGTCATTCGGTGAGGAGGAACCACGTTGGTTAAGGGTTTTGACATCAAACATTTGAATCAATGGTATTGGCAGTATCGAAGAGTATGACGCATCTCCACGTGCTGACATCTTCTACAGAAAATTCATCAGGAGCTCGAATATTATGCTTTTGCAACTTTTGTTCTGTTACGACGTAGTGTATGCTCTACTGTGAATCTGATGACCACTGTACTAAATATGGTGCTTTTCTCTACCGTGAAATGGGTCATCAATCAACCAATCAAGCCGAACCCTAACCACCATCAACAAGTTCCGAGATGTAGGGCGCAGCGCGGGCGCACACGCAAGCTGCCAAATTAACGTTACGCAAGCGGCCGTGATTGACGCAACAGTCCCGGGAATGCGCTCCGGCACGCGACAACACTATTTATGTGCGGGACCAACACTTACTTGCTTATTGGATAAGGTGTAACGGCATTTTGATATGCTGTGTTTGACGCCTTTAAGGAAATAGTAATGCGCAATGGAATTGTTAACAGTGGGAAATTCAATTAACCGTCGTAAATGTTGGTGAATGATTGCAGATAAGAAATGACACTAGAAGATACAGATTTAAATAAATAAGTTATATCGATATTTTTATAGTTTCGTAGTTATGTAGATAACTACAAGGTCTTCTAGAGTCATTGGCCGAAAAATGTCACATGTAAATTATTCTGTAAACATCTCATTAACAACTTTGTATCTTGATTCGGATCAATGTCCCCAGAACAAATGGAAATCGATTTAAGATTCAAACCATCCAAAACTTTCGCTGATAATGTTTAGTTCAAATAATAAATAAATATTTGATTTGAATAGTACTCTTGCATCAATCATAGAGCGCCCATTTTTGCGTGCAAGTCCACCTGTTTGCCAACAACTGACCCGCGACCGTTAACCTCTAACCGTCAATGGGGCTACCACGTTACCGCGAACGAGATTACGTCCAATCGCGAATACACACCTTCTCTTCTAACAATGTGGACTCGACAGAGACAGATAATAGTTTCAATTGCAACGGTCGGGTTCACGGAGTGCGACCGCTCAACGGTGAATCATCGCGTGATGTGAATTAAGCCGACGGACTGGCCTCCTTTTTAAGCGATTATCAATATTTGGACACTTATATTTTATAAGCCGGTGTTCGATATTGGTTGGTGGAACTCGATACCTTTGGAGATCAATACACGAAAACTAGGACATAAGAAACTGGTGACAATAATCATAATGGAAATAAAGACAAATAATACAAATTGGGCACAATAAAAGCAGAGAACAAAGAACGGGTGCATACAGCTAAGATCGTCGTTTAGATTGCGCCTGGACCGTTAGGGCATGTATGTGAGATCATTAGGAGCTCGGTGGCTTGACTCTTTGTGGAACATTTCTATATTTAACACGCGTGATGAGACATAGGACAATATTCACTGTTTGTATGATTCACGAACTTAAATAAATGTTGAAATTAGATCTCTTTCACTGGCTAGGCTACACGTCATTATGTCCAAAAACGTATAATGGACTGCATAAAACCTAACATTACACTATCGTTCTGTGGAAATGGCTACAATTAATAGCAGCACTTAAAGCTATTGCCACGTTATACCCTTGGGTGCTATCATTAATTTCAAGGCGGTTCTGTTTTAATGGAATTGCAATTGATTAAAACGCTCTATAAGGCACACTCTCCAAAGAGATTGATGACGGCGGAACCGATAGTGAAATCTATAATAATAAGTGTGTTTACTCACCTTTAGTCGCCACAGGGATGGATTGTCGCGTCATGTCCTAAAACGGAAACAACCAATTAGTTATCTGCCTTGTTATCACACACAAAATATTTATAGCATGAGCAAAATAATACAGATAAAAAGCAGAGGATATCAAACCAAACTACTCAAGTACTGTATTTACAAAGAGAGGAAAGATTTCAAAGTATATGCCGATAGATGTGCGTAAGTCACTGTACAAAAACTCACTTTTTTCAAGTATTTCAAAAGCATAAAAGGTATCATGGGATACAAGTGACTATCATGGAATCCCCGAAGTGTTTAACCCAAAATAACAGAGTTGTTTGTCGTAACGTAATAGATACGCCCCGCATTTGATACAGTGATTCCGCAACGGATGGTTACTTTCAAAAATTTTCACTATCGAAATGAAATTATGCGGGCCGATTCTCAACAGTTCATTAATGTTATTAGAATTTAGATCCGACTACTGGTTTCTATCTTTGGTTGCAATTTAATAGAGTTCACCATTCTGATCCTGAAGCTATGGGAAATGGGAACTAAGATTCTTATTACTTAGTAACTTGACATTCTTGACTTAATCAGTAGGAATATGTACTTTGATCCCAAGATTCCCAAAAATGTAGGTGTTGTTGCATGTGAAATGCAAAAGTGTTAATTAGGTCACAACAATAAGACCAGTCGTATGAAGGGCAAACGTCAGTCTTCGACGGAACGTGCAATTTTGCCGCAATCCTGCTTATTACTTGAGAACGGAAGGACTCGCATGTCTTACGTGATATTTGCATAACCAAACGGCTTTAAAATTGTCATCACTGTTGCAATGGATACTTAGCCGAAAGAAAAACATTACTTCTCCATTAGCTAAAGCAGAAAATTAAACCCCCATTTTCGTAACAAAAATGTCATTTAAAGGAACTTTTTAGAAACTTGATGGGTTTGATCTTGGTTAAAAAATCACGAATCATCTAAGGTTGCGAACTCTTTCGTTGTGGTTTAGGACTCGCTGGGTCGAATAAACTGGGAGCTCTTATATTTTTCCAAAGTTCTGAAACTGATTCGGAATCCTCATTTTAAAGATGCATCCAAATATGCCAATTCAGCAGAAAAGGCGAAAGTAGATTTTATAGTCCGACTTAGTTAGTAGCGACATAAGATTTAATCTGAATGGGCATCGGCGTGAACTCACTTATGCAAGTAGGGCAATCTGAATCACCATAATCTTCACCTATATTTTTCTTCAGTAGGTCCAAACCTAGACCACTTTAAAAAACCTTCAAAACTGCTTTTCTTGCTCAAGGTGGAAGACTTCCACTGGAAGTCCTTACTCTGGTCAGTGATCAGGGTGGTCAGGGTAATCCTCCTACCACTTTCGTAAAATCTTTCTTTTTTGTTTATGCGCCTGTCTATTGTTGTCATGTTACTTAATATAGTTTTTTTCTATGTAAAGTCTACCGCATAGATTTCTATTACGTTACGTACGATGCGGCTTGCAATTTCCTCGTTCGCAATCGTTTCTGTTTCCTTCAGCGGAATTACTATTTACGTTTGATGGCATGTGACATTTACTGTTACTGCTACAGGTACGAGTTATACTGTTGTTATTTCATTTGCAGTAAAAACTCACAATATGCTAATTAAATGTCTCGATTAATTAAAACACTAGCGTATAGTGTGCAAATGCTAGCAGTTCTATTCACCGGCACCGCCAAGAGATAGCGCTGCGTCAAAATAAGCTTGCAATTGAAATCCAATATTTTTTCTTGTCCATGCTCAACAATTTTCATTACTACATTAAATGTATATTTCTTTTCATTGTGATTTTGAGATAATGATACATTTCTTTGCTCATAAATAAAGATAAAATAAGTACAAGACGACACACGAGCGTGAGAATGTCTGCTGCACTGCGTTTTAACAATAATGCAGCATTAGGAAACGGCTCATGGAATAAGGAAGAAGGTTGTTTGTTGCACGTGGCGTCGGGAATGGCTCTTAGATAACCTAAGAAGTTAACAGCAGAGCCACAAAGGCCTGGCGCATCGCTTCAAGCACACTGTGCACTTGTCACTCCAGCGTCAACACCGCAAGTATGCTGCTTGTTCGTTTTTTTATTGCAATGTTTTTTGGAAAGAAATGTCTTTATTCACCATAATATATCATAATGAGGCTATTGTATAGATAGATAAATGGAAAACTAGCTTGCGTTTTTCTTTCGGTCGACGACTGAATTTCTGAAAACGTTTCTAACTGTTTCGTTACCTTTTAAGTGAGTTTTTACCGGGATCGTAATATTTCTAAACGTCTTCGAAAAAAGGAGGATGTTCCACGGTATCGTAAAATCATTATTAACAGCATCATTACAGCAGTGGCATTAGCTGCAATGACTGTGCGACATTTATCTTGCATGAGGAGCCCGACGGTAAATGGCCCCATCAAATTGCCCAGAAGCGTCTATTCCAGAACACTGGTCGCCATTCCCAGTAATTTATCCTTCGTCGGAGCCCTAACGACCGGGGAGATAAAGGGATGTGTCTTAAACAATTTACACTTAGGTAATTTGGGAATTTTAATGATACACGACTTCTTGGTAGAGTTCGATAGAAAGACATGTGAATACTAGTCACTCACTACAGTCTAGGTGGGTGCTAAAGATACCAGGAAGATATGCAAGAGGAAATAATTGCAAGAAAGATCTGACCAAAAACTAATGTTGTATTGTTTAGCTGTTTAGGCACACACACTCGTGCCTAAATCGATTGTTTCCAATCACCATCACCTTTATAATATCCTCATACAAACCTAATCAGGTGCGAAATTAAGTTTTTTTGTGTGGCTCGGAAGCAATTCATTATACCAACAAAGGGGGTTTGCTCTGAGCATGCTGAATAGCTTTTCACATACGAGCAGGCTTGGAGGGCAGCGACCAAATTGTTTACAATATCGCATCCTTTTTATAAAATACAAAACTATACGAAACATCTGTTAATCTATTAATAATACATTTTCCCGTGTTAGAGTTCAATGTTGAACAAATCGTATTGAGTATTAACAGCTTAGAAGCAGACATAGGGAGTTTCAAATGTCCTGTAATTGGATTTGGATTTCGAGTATGTCAGAATCCATATCAAGTAGTTTTCTTTAAACACTTCCTTTTATAAATTGACTGAATTCCTAACGTAGATTAATTTAAGGGACTCACATTAATGTCAGCCTGCGCCGATTATGCGTCTTCGAATGATGTCAACATTACATTTACTTATTAGTTTTCCTGACATAACGGCAATGTAAATAGATTTCATTGTTTGCCAAAATGGAACGGCTTCAGTAGCTAACATAAAGGTTCAAATGATAATAAATCCATTGTGCTAATATTATACAGTACACACTACTACACAACATCAACTGATTGGATCGAGTTTTTGTCACGCCCAAGCAATCTGGCAAATCGAATAGCTTCATTGAAATCGTAACAAAGGTGTGACAAAAGCGCAATCCATCAAAAAACACCATAACAAGCTGTTCGTGTGCAAATCATAGATCGTGGAGCAACGTAATCGAAAAGTGAGGAAAGTCGAAATAAATAGGGTGTAGGTAGCGCGGCCGCGCCGTCCATCGTGCGAATGATGAGAAGGTGGTGGACTGTACCGATCGTGAGTTGCGCACGGGCAGCGTGTGGCCGGAGTCGCCCGCGCCCTCGCCCTCCGCGCCCTGCAGGAACCCGCCGTCGTCCGACGAGGAGCCCGAGGGGTCCTTCGCGCCATGCCAAACAATCACGTGCCAATCATCCCACAGTACACAAGTAACTTACTGAGCGCGCAGCCTCATCGTCCGTCCCCGTCATCGTATTTAAAACAATCTGGAGAGCGACGCGACCCCCTATTGTTCTACAGCGAGTGGAAAGTGAAACTGGAATGCTAACACAGCCGAGTGTGGAAAATCGATGCGACCCGGTGTCAGGCGTGCGTCAGACGTACCCATACAAGTGGAAGGTCGTTCGGCCATCAATCATCGTCTGATCGGACGCGGCCGCAGCACGCGACTACTGGCCGGTGCGTTTGTAAACATACATCTAAATCTAGCCGGCGCCGGCGATCAATCATTCCATACGTTACCAATACCTTCGCCTACCTCGACATTTCATACACTGTTTATGTTTTTCTACGTGAATTCATTACTGTGTTTGGTGACATCTGTGGCGGCGTGCGCTAACAACGGCGTTGCCTCGGTAACGGGTGCAGTTTCTAACAAAATATTCCACAAGCGATGACCGCTACTGAGTGCAAGTTGCAAATGATCACCTGCCAGCTGATGATGTATGGGAACATTTCTACATTTTCCCCCGCGGTTGTGTGACACCCGCGACACCGGTTCAATGACGAGTTCCGCTCATTCATTGACAGATCGAGTGTTTTCACTTTACGTTTCACAGGTGCTCTTCATAGTGAAGTAACTTTGAATGTATTTGCTAAATAAACTTTGAATTCATTTCGAAATTACTGTTAGTTTAAGAAGCCACGTAGCCGGTACCAGGTCCCCGTGGGCACATTCGCCTATCGCGGATATGTTATTCGAACTGTGACCCGGTGTCGATTGGGTTGCAAGTTAGCAACGTGTCTCACAACCCAAACAATGAGAGTGATCGCGGCTTGGTACGCGGTTCGAACGCCTCTACTAATCGATAAGCCTAACTAAAGGTTCCGCCGATGATATCGCGAAAGTGAAGTACATTCGATTAGAGACACAAAAACTGTTCGTGGCGAAAGCAAGCAAACCGCGACGGCAGGCTTTCTGAGCGAATTGGGTCGATCCACCACTTTTTCGACCTCAGTCATAAAAGAAACGCTTTCCCGCTGCAGAAATTAATTGCACTTGTGCTGTTAGCGGCTACCTTGCATATATTAGAATCAAAAGCAAGGCTACGGACTGAAAACTTTAATTACGGCTTTATATTTAGTTAATTACTGATTACCTCTACACGATTTTTTACTTTAAGCGTCACAACGACATAGTCATGTGTTAGCCATTGTTAGCTGTAGTTAAAATTTCTAAATTCTCACTACAAAGCAAGCGGGCTCTAGTCGAGTGTTGCAATATGACATCGACCACAAAGTCGCGGTTATGGGGGAGTTATTCGAATTCATGATATCAAGTTTCTGATGTTTTTTTACAAACTGTAATGTATTGAAATAAAAGTACTGCATATTCAAGTATGAACTACAGTTGATAGGCCTAATGCTATGATGCTAAGGCGACTATAATTAGTCACAAGATAGTGCGACTCCTGGACAGGTTTTGATTAACCAGAAGCAGTGGCATGCTTGATTTTTTTTATCAAATCAGCATAGTTACATAATACACGCTCTATGTAACATTTTAGTCAAATAAATTTTATTTAATCAAAGGTACCAGGTGTACCTTGGACCTTGAATGTAGAGTCATCATCATAATCATCATTCCCGAAACACTGTCAAGATCTCGGGGTAGAGACGTGCCGGTAGATAAAAATTTTTAGATGGGTAGGTACTTAGTAGTCCCAAAGTGTTATGGTAACTAATAGCCTGATGTATTCTCTGTAAATAGACTAATATAAGTTGATATTGGTACATGTTCTTTGTGTTGAAGTACCAGGAGAACATCAACATCATGGCGTCACAAATCTTAGCTTCATACACAGAAACTAATAGCCTGAGGGCTTAGTGTGAGTTTACATCAAAGGCCGTCACTAGCGAGCGCGTTAAAAAATAATATATGAAGATTTTAGTTCTTGAAAGTTTCCGCTAGGGGCGCTGCAGCTGTACAATTCATCATACATTTAATATCACTTTTTTACGCAGTCGACATCGAATGCGTTTGACGTAAAATCACGTAAAATCACACTACGCCCTATGATGTGTTCTCTGTAAATAGTCAAGTGTGAGTAGCTAACTGCATGTTATTTGTGTCGAAGTACCAGGAGATCATAAACAAATGGGCATCACTTACCCTCGCGAGTTTGTTGGGCATGGGCTGTAGGTGCGGCGTGTGGTGGCGGGTGCCGGCCAGCTCGGGGTTTAGCGCCAAGATGGCGTCGATCTCCACCTCCTTGCCTTTCGTCTCGCCGCGCTCGTACCACTCCACGGTGACCGAGCGAGTCTCCAGGTTGACCCCAGACACGATCGCCGAGTGGATCCGGCCTGGAAAGTGACAAACTAAGAGGTCAATTTGACGGTTTTGTTGTCTGGAGAATGGATATTATAGCGCAGGGGTGGCCACGATCGACTGGACTAATAGTCGCGATCGACCGGTCGATCAGTCGAGCAGTCGATCGTGGCAAGGCAAAATACTACATGATTGTGTACTAAACAATGCTGTTTCATTTAAGATTTCAAGAAGTATGTGTGGTAGATCACCCAGGGTTTCGTTAGTAAACAGTAGATCTTAATGTCTTATCAAGTTGGCCACCCCTGTTATAGCGTATGGATATGAAATCCTAAGTGCCCATATTTTTATCACAATATCCTTTTGAAGAAACTTATACAGGGTGATTGGTACTAGACCCGCCCATAGCAAATTCCCATGTAGAGGAGGTCGTTTGCGAATTATTGGACCTAACTTTACCTGCGTGAAATTACCTTATAACAGGATAAGTTATATCATTTTTAGCGCGAGAGTACTAAAGATTATTTAAAATTATTATAACTACTTTGAGCTTTCTTTTATCGTAGCAACAGATTTTCCTCCATTATTTGAACACCTGCTGACAATAATTGTTTTTAATTCCACTGAAGTCATTTGAATGTTCTTACAACATAATGAAAACACCTTGTAGAGCACTATCATACACTGAAAACTGTCTTTTATTGCCCTTATTCTGTCATTACCATATAAAAATAACACAAAGGGTACAATACAAGGACCTGACTACCTAGTATTTTAAAGTAAATTGCTATACCGTACCACACCAGGGGAAATTGAATTTCAGGCAGATGAAGCTGCTGAAATAATAAACATTATTCCAGAAGGGGAGCCTGGGGTTGTCTGGCACTAAAGGGGAGACTAGACTCGTTAGACTACCCTCTAATGTGTTCAGACGGCAAGGTCGCACACGTGGAAATCAATGTAGGAAGCTTCTGCACTTCCTATGAGTTTTTTTCATATGAGAAAAGACAAAGCAATATTAATTCTATTATATATGAAGCGGTAGCAATTTACCAAAGATTGGTAAATTGAATCCAAGCACGTAATATTAAATTTTTACGAGTAAGTTTAATTATTAATTTGTATTGACCGCGATTGAATAAGACACGAGCACGACAGAATACTATTAGTGACTGATAATTACGAAATAACTTGTTATGATCAGAATATTATGAAACCACTAAATCTGAAATAGCAAGCCTGAAAAAGCTCTGAAAGGCGGTAAAACTTTACAGAGCTACAAATATCCCATTCAAAGGGCAAGGTCACTGACCTTCCCTATTCCCGTTGAGCGTTCCCTTTCATCTCCGCCAGCTAAAACCCGGCGGCCCCAACATAAACAGAAACAAAAGCGAGAGATACGTACAATAGAAGTATTGAATGATGTTAAAAACAAAGATGTAAAAGAATAGCTTTCACTGACGTACGATAAATCCAGAAACACTGATAATGATTTATTACGCCAAAAGAATATTCGAACTCATGTAGTTATGTTAGAACTTACATTAAATACCAAATATTAATTTAAATTACGAGAAAACAGCGAAACTAAAGTTATCAATAATCCTCAAAAGAATTCCATGAAAACAATAGTACAACTCTAAAAACAAATAACCGTGAAATCACTGGAATTATATATAAAATTACTACCAAAGTTTAACTTCTATTATTTCTTATAGACAATAAATTATAGAAATAGCTTTTATATGAGAATCATAAAGAGTTACGAAACCAGAACCCACGTCTGTTGTGTTTTATGAGATACTAAAGTTTCTTTCTTCTTTCTTTTTCAGCCAAATGACGTCCACTGCTGGACAAAGGCCTCCCCCAAGGCTTTCCACAATGAACGGTCCTGCGCTGCCCGCATCCAGGCTCTTCCCGCGACCTTTACCAGATCGTCGGTCCACCTAGTAGGAGGCCTGCCCACGCTACGTCTTCCAGCCCGTGGTCGCCACTCGAGAACTTTCCTGAACTAAAGTTTACTGACACTATTTTAATATTATATTGATGGCCCAATATAAGGTACTTGACCAAGAACTAAATTGAATCACGATTTTGAAGAAAATCTCAAGCAGGTAGTACAGTCAGCGTCAAATACTTCGTGACATCTAAAGTAGCCAAAAAGTTCGCAACATGTCGGAATAAGGATGTGTATTATCATCTTTTTGGCCACTTCGGCTGTCACGAAACTATTTGATGCTGACTGTACTTAGTTATATTTGATATACTGTTATCAGAGTAAATAAAGGCACAATTTCAAAGATAATATTCAACAATACAGGCGAGCAATGAGAACCAATTCACAAATTCCTACAGCAGTTAGTGCAACAAAGGAAAATCCACTGCATGCGAGCTCATTGTGAAACGAGTTCATATTGTGGTTTTGTACCAGTCACTGATATTGATCCTAGTGATAAATTGTCCTTTGGATCGTTCCAAAGAAATCACAGTCATGCCAATAATTTGCACATTAATGGTGCCATGCCAATCACTCGCAATTTTCCTTCATATTTGTTTAAATTACAGCGAAGTATAAAAACCTTGAATGTTGTTTGATGTTAAATCGTTTACCACTGTGAGTAAGCTGCCAGTAAATATTTTAGTTAAATCCATGTTGTGACCTTCATACAATAAATCATACGTTAGAAAAAAATCTTACTTGGCAAACCTAGAAAAGAAAGCATACGATAAAACACTTAACGATTCGATTAGCATTGAGCATCATATAAAATCGAGCGGAATGCACTAATAGATGCAGTTGTATCAGCATGGGTGTCTAGTTTATAACCACAGAACTGTAATTAACTGCGTATCATGAGTATAATATCTGCAATATAAATCAACATGATAATTCTCAAGGTGGGCTATGTTGCAGAAAATGTTCGGATGCCAATGGTATATTGCACAGAGATAAAATAAATTTTCTTAGTGTAATGTGAGATAGCGAACAATAAGTTGCCTTGCGTATCTTTTGCGTGACCCGGGTGACATTCGATCTAGATTTAGAATTGGAGCAAACTGAACTTTCAGAAATCAATACGTTTAGTCTAATCCATTAGACCTTTATAAAGTACCGCCCCAGTTATCTGATTTCAGATTACAGAGACAAATGAACTCTTGAGATAATTAGCAAAAAGTCAGGTTCTATTTTGGGACAACTAAAGTCAAACATAATGTTCAGTTGCCCTTCAATAAAGCACGTAACAAACGTTTCGATTCGATAAACCTAATGCAGGTAACGAATCGAACACATACCGTTACTATGGCTACGCTCCGCGACCGAGCAACGAAAGTGGAACGAAGCGCCGAAATAAAAGGCCAAAAGCACCGCTATTGGCTGCTCTATGAGGCTGTGCGACACATCAAACTGCCCATACGCCTAGGGGCAGGTACGATACGATAATCGGGCGTAGTCCAAAGTTGCAAACACCAGCCTTCTGTTAGAATAGCTTGATCGACCAAAGTAAAAACCATCGCTTTATGACGCTAACAAAGCAATTTTCACAGAAAGATACAAAAACTGCTTATTCTTGGAATTGCACTGTTTACAAAATTACGCTGTAAATTAGTCAGAGATCTGAGTCGCCCTGTTTTACATCACCTAATCAAGAATGATTTTATCATGACCAATCGATTTGATACATCACTAGCGGCTTACAAGATAAGGCAGTTATATCACGATTGGCATATAATTAAGATTATTAATAAGAACTTCCTTCCTTTTGTTAAGAATTTAATCATTTTCCTAAATGGTAGCCCAGTAGAGAAAATTTAAATAAAAGCCATGGCCTCCTACTACTTGGTACAGTCAGATGTCAATAAAATTCGTATGAACGCAAGGAATACGTGGCCAACTGCCAAATAGTCGCACTGACACCAATGTAAGGAGACCTTTCTTCGGGACAAGTTCTTGAAGCAGGAAGATCAAAGTATAATGGGAGCCCTGGGCCTCGGATGCCTAGCAGTTTGGTTCGGTCGCAGCTGTGTCATTGACCCGTTAACGCATTGCTTTGCGCTAATTATAATCCAGTTGCGTTTCCTTATCCGCAATCTACGAATCCTTACCGAATCAACAAGAAATTCTCATAAAATTAGTTTTTCAATTATAGGAAATATAGCTTACCGCTCTGCTTGATTTCTAATTACGTGGTTTATGAGTATGATGGATGAGTAACTTATACAAATATAGACTCATCACAAATACCAAGTGGGAAATTATAATCAATTGACTCCATCAAAGTAATATTGAAATACATTACGATTCAACAGCAACATCATGACAGAATGTTGTCTACGTAATTATGTATGTATGTACCGACAAATAACTACACATGGCAGGTAAAAGTGGAATGAAACTAGCTCACGCCATTTTAGTTTCCCACGGTCAAGTTTGCAACAAGGGAGAAGATTCCGTATAGCGTGCAATTACTATTGCGAGTGCAGTCATTCCACGATCGGTGCTTCAGCGGCGCACACCAACTTGATCGATGGCCAGCAAGCCGATGAAGATGTTTTATTTATGAACCTCGTATCCTATCCTTCAGCAATCAATCACAGCCATTCTCACAGATTCCTATTGAAATCAGAACGAGAATCACATACCATTACAGCTCACATAGACGACTGATACAATCTCAAAACATCAATACACAACCCAAGCAAACAGCATTCGACATAATGCAAAATCCAATGATATGTTCCAGCACCAGGTCAAAGATCTCACTGACATGCGCAAGTCGATACTGCATAAGGTCAAACTCGTGAAATGGCGGCTAAGGTCAACTACGGCTTTCCCCATAAAGCGCTCTAACAATACGAACCCACCAATTACGACCAAACGAGACGTATCATGGAACACAGACAAGGAACGGCTCCCATTAGGGAGGGCGGCTTGCCTTTTAGGTACCATTTGTATGATAGGATCGGGAATCTATTATGTTGCCTTACGTGGAAGTTTAATAGATAACCCATAGAAACTCTCGGAAATGCATACACA